TTTGACTCGGAGTTCATTTGACTCGGACCGGCCAGCCGACCCCAGCAAGCTCGGTGGTCGAGTGGTTAAGACTAGTGCAGATGCACTAGTAAGCAGGAGGTCCTGGGTTCGAGTAAGGGCAAACCCGTGATATATAATTAACAAATAAACATGTTAATCAGAAGTCAAATTGTTATGGTACTGTTACTCACATTCAAAGAGAGAGAAAATACCTACTATCACATAATAAAAAACGTCGGTAACAATTTTAAGGAGCTGTATGCATGTTTTGAATGTTATGGCACTGACCAAACTTGCAAAAATTGTACACTATTTATCAAAAAGCTTTTTCAAGAAACCCATCCACAAGAAAAAAAGCAATGTTATATTATATTTACATAGCCTGTCACTGGCCCCCAGAGGACACTTCTAAAACAACAATTTCAGCTCAATAATCTAAATTGGACCCTTGTGACTGGTGTTGACTTTGGTGAATAGGGTTACGTATTCAAGCATTGCATGAGTTGTTCATTTAGGTACCACAAATGTTTTAACTTTGCCAAAACAGAACACACTCTGTAAACGAACAAAAAACACTTAAAGACCAAATTTGTGACCTACCATTCCAAAACTAACTAGGTTGAAGGAATATCAGCTATTTTTTCATACACAAAACATGAAAATCTCATAACTTTCATTGTCCGTAAAATATCAACCATTTCTGAAAAAATTGTTACTTTGGATGGCTTCGAAGTACGAAAATAGGAATTGCAAAATATCAAAATAAAAACCAGTCTAGGTCCTGTGTTTGGAATGATCGGTCACATTTCCCATTCTGCTTGCCATTACAAATAAGATTTTCAAACTCTGGACAGCGATAATAGCGATTGGCAAACAGAATGAACCTATTCTAATCCAGAAAATCTCTCAAAGATTCAAGTTTCAACATATTAATCACATGGATCAAGGTTCACCAACTTATGCGCTGTTATAAGGTCAACCAAGCTTCTATGTCCCCAGCACCAGAATTTGACGTGAAGTCGCTCATATTGTAAACATGACGGCCAACGGCTTTGTACCGCCAATTTGAATAGTACAGTCCTTTGCAAAAGTTTAAGACCACCTGGAATTTATGGGTATTTCTGTCAATGAGCCTGCATTCCTTTGTCTCATCGGATGATTACATAACATGTCTACTACAGTGGTCATAACATGAAAGTAGTGCTATGAGCCTATGTGAATGCAAGTTTTTGCCAAGACATGTCTTGTATGGCATTTTGTCTTTGCTGCAGCATGGGAAAAAAAGCCTGTCTTGGTCAGGTTCAATGGGCCCAAATGGCAACCCTCCATCAAGAGGGCTACCCTGAGCTACTCTGAAGGGGGCTGGTTGCAGCAAGACTGCTATGCACCATGCCATTTCAAATTTCAAAGAGATGGCTCATTTTCTGACCAGAAAAGGCATGGTTGTCCAAGAAAAACTACCCCCGTGAAGACCATGTGATCCGGCAAATTGTTGTGAAGGATCCCTTGAGTTCTTGTTGAAAGATTAAAGCAGCTTTGCAGTTCACTGGGACAAATGTTAATTTTTGAAGCACCATTTCTTGCCGTTTAAAAATAAATAAATAAAATAAACGTAAGTTTCAAAGATTTATTTGCTAAAATTTGGTTTTCCTTTGAGTTACTGCATTTTGAATGGGTGGTCTTAAACTTTTGCAAATGACTGTACTTGAAACTTAATGTTGATGGAAAAGGGTAATGTAAATATATATAGAGATAACAGAAATGTCTCTTGTCCTTCAACAGCTAAAAATAGCAGAAAGTTTACAATGAGGGGTGTATATTGTAAAGGTTAACTCAATTCAGTTTAGGTCAAAAATCTTTGGGTTGGGGGCTTGGGTTATGGGGATATTTTGTTACGTGAATTATCACCAAAATTAAATGTACGATGTACAAACTGAAATTCAAAAAGTTTGAAGGTTGGAGTTTAAAAATGTGGAAAAGGATGGCAATTGGATGGGAAGATTTTCCGGACCTTTTTTCAGCAACCAAAATTGATCTTGATGGGGTTGAACTCTCATCAACTCATGAAACTAATTACAATCACTCAAAGCAAAACTGAAAGATCTCAGTTTTTTCCCCAACATGTCACTTAATTCTGCACCGTGCACGTGTCTCTACACATTCAGAGGTAAACAGACTACGGTGTAGAAGAGATACCATTACGTTGCATGGGGTATGACGACCCAAAGTTTAACACTATGCAACTCATTAATCTACGTTATGGAGCTTGCTTGCAGACGATGCTGCACACAACTGGTACTGCAGAATGGGTGATACTCAGATTAGCAAATGGTCTGCAACACCATCGCATAAGTTTGGAAAGCTTTTTTTTTTCTGAAGCCCAAGGAGCTAAAGACAATGGGTTGACAAATATTTCAAAGTTTTTATAGCTCATTGACAGAATTGCACATATTTTCGAGTTTCTTTTGTGGTTTGGCAAACCTTTACAAACACCTGTTTTGGCAGGTTTTTTTTCCTACCTTTTCTATACAAGTTATCACAGTGTTCATTAATTTGGAAAATTGTATTATTCTGCATGTAAAACTACTGTTGTATCTGCAATAAATGACACAAAATATAAAGTATGTAAAATCTACAACAACATCATCTACATGTATATTTCTCTACAAAATGTCTTAAATACGTTGTACTTTTGCTGCTTTGTGATCTTTTCAACAGTACTAAATTTAAATTCAAAAATAATACAGCTCATAATCGTCAAAACTTTTATAGTATATATTATTGTTACACATTTGGTGGATTTGTTCAATCAATTGGCAAAATACTGATTCTTGACAGGTTGTAGTACTAAAATAAAAAAAACACAACCAAACAGCTGAATACACATGCCCAAAATAACAGACAAACAACAACGAACAAACAAACAACAATGAACAAACAAACAACAACAAACAAACAAAACACAAAAAAGAGAAAAAAATTGGAAAGGTGCGTGCAGTGCTCACCCTTCGTATCAGCTGCGTCATATTTTGGACAAAAGTTCTGAACCCGTCTTTCTGACCCTTCAAACCACATTGCCTGAGACTTTTCACAAGTTTCAGAAGTCGTATTTTTGCGATCAAGCATATCACAAAATGTAAAATGTCTAAATTCCACACACTAACAGCAAATTTATGCATAAACTTGAAATCACATATATGCCTTTTTAAGCCACTGTAAAGAGAAAGCCTTGGCAATTGGCAAGTATAATTTCCAACCTGTCACAAAAACAACTTAGCATCACACATAAGCATTTTTAATGCTAATATGATTTTTTAAAATTACATACATGTATGGGCATCAAATTTTGATTAGTTTCACTTGTTACAAGTTACAAACCAACTGTTTGAACAGCTCAGAGACGGTCAATAATTTAATCTACTTCTCCTGTTACATTACACAAATGTACCACGAGTAACTTGATCAATTTGGACTTCCCGAAAGAATAACTTTTAAGAAATAAAATAATAATAAGAGATGAGAGTTTCAACAGATCTTATCCACAAAGAAGCCATTTACGACAATATTCCTTGAATCTATCCTATTGAATGTAAACTGCTAAAAGGGGTGGTGCCAGACTACTTTGAGTTCCATGCCTCACATTCATTTTTTTACAAATATGGCTTAAAACATAAGCATGTAAAAAAATCCCAAATTCTAAATTATTCACCGGCATCAATAAATTAACAGCTTTACGAGCAAAGCAACTGCTGATTCATGCATTAAAGGGTCCATGCAATACAACTTCTTACTTCAACTCTTAGAAATGCATCTTCAGTCTTTCGATATTAGTGTGGCTAGGTTTAAAAACTTACTGATGCAAATTTTCATATTCATGAGCAAAACTGTGATGTCATTCCACATTTCAGGGAGAACAACCTCTCTGTTGCATTGATTTGTACACACAAAACTGCTGGAATCTTATCACCTTTTTTGTGTCTTACATTTTGTTTTGTTTTTGGGTGATTTAAAGTTTTGTTGTGCATGGTGATGAGCTTACTATATATGAGCAACCCTTTCTCCCACGTTTTTTGATGAGAAAAAATTCAGGTAACAATATTTTAATAATAAAACTGATAAAATGTACAATGTCTTCCCAAATGACATCACAGAAACAGCGCCCTCAGTTGCCAAGAAAAGTATAGACAATTTAAAGTGTTTTAAAAAGTGCCCTTTTCAAACCTTAAAAAGGGGATAAAGTTGTATAAAAAGAAAAAATATATAGCATGGACCCTTTAAAGTATTTAGGCTAGTCTCAGGTGGATTTGAGATGTAAGGAGACTACTTTTGTCTGTGGTTAGTGGGTTATTTCTTTTGCTTGCTACTTAAGCTGTGTAAGTGAAATCTGGTGGGCTAAGTTGGCCTTGGTCGACGTCTAACGTAAAGTGGTTATTTTCCTGTGTTTACGCACTACCTCAAAACTTACAGAAAATCTCTCAAGAAAGCACCTGGCGTAATTTCTCCTGGTCCTCCCCGCTAAAACCGATGGATTCCAGAAAGTTCTCCACCGATCCGTACCTTTAACATAGAGTGAGAAATTAAATGGCTCATTATGAACAAACTCGATAGGTTCACATTGTGGTTCACTTGATCGCACTAACACATCTAGACTGAAAAAAAATCACTCCAACAATAAATGTTTCTGTCAAAGATAAATCACCACGCAAAGCCCACACCAATAAGCTTTTTGTGAATTAAGTTTGAATAAAAACTGGTACACTGAGTTCTTTGAATTCACATAAACACAACAATTTGAAGTCTCCATACTAAAGACACTGTTGCTATACCTCATGATTTGGGGCAAGCTTTTGCACCAATACACTGTTTTCAATGGATAAGAAGGGCACAGAGGAACCAGTCCATTCCAGAGATGGTGGTCGCTATGCAAAAGCTTGTCCCGAATCACGAGGTATAACAACAGTATCTTTTTTTTTTTTCAAAACAGAAATCACTCTTACGGTTCCAGTCCAGTTTCAGCCCCCCCCGATGCATATAACGACAAAGAGCTCTACATTTTAAAATGTAGAGAGCTCAAGACTTGTCAAAAAAAATGGAAAACCATCGGGGAAACATGGTGAAAATAACAGTAACTTACTGGCCTCCTTTAATGCGTTTTGTGTCATTTACCCCCGTTTCAGACAGGCATTCTAGAGTCCCGCCAAACCAAATTAAAAGCAAATTTTGAATTAAGTGCGGCAAAAGTGCGTCGTTTAGCACAATTAGGAGCAACGACGTGTGCTAGCAGGCAAAATATCAACACTTGAAGACAGTGGAAACGACACCAGAGCGACTTGGTTTCAGATGTTGCCAGGGCAACCCCAGTACAAATGTCTGAAACCAACATTTAATTGGGACGACCTGAGCCCCTCTAAGTTCTATTTGGTTTGGCGCATGTACACATGTACATGCACAAGCATGCTTTTCCTTCTGAGGACCAGAACATAACAGATGTCAAACAGAGTGCAGACAGTGAAGATGTTGTGAGGACTTGGAGACTTTGTCCTGTCCCCACTCTCGGACTAGACTGGCTCACCTGTCCCTGAGCAATGCCAGCGTCTTCAGCATCGTCTCTTTCTTGGCCATCGCGAAGGACTCGTCCAGGTTGTACTGGGTCACCAATTCTCCGTGGACGCGTGACTGGACAGGCTTCAGCCCTTCCTGTGTTAAAGACGACAAATTAGCAAAACGACAATTACAAATGCTAACCCCACAAATCTACCCAAGCCCAACCTTAACTAGTCACTTAGCTGGGATTCAAACCCATTAGATTATCTAATAAAACAAAATATATTAATATCAAATTATTCAAATTAGCCGAGTCCTAAATAAGGGTTTGAATAGTAACTGCTGTTTTGGCCATCACTATTTTGATTTTATATTTTATGGTAATGGAATATTGCTACCGACAGTAAATTGAGAAAAATTACACTAAAATTGGCGCTTACCACTGACAAAGCGTAATCTTCAGCAATGTACTCGTCTGATTTACCCAGAATGCTTAGGATCATAGCCGTCACAATTCCTGTCCGATCCTTGCCGTGCGCACAGCACAGCAATGCAGGGAGATTGGCTGGGTCCGAGATGGTCTTCAAGACTGGTGAACAGAGAAGACAAAAATATCCAGACCAAGGGTCTTTAAGGAATAAATACAGCCAGGAAGTTCATTGAATAAGACGGAAATACCAGCTGTTAGAAATTACAAAGAACTCTGGTTACAGCAGTTGCTAAAGCAAAGTTGCTGGTACCAACATAAAATTACATTGTTATACTAAGAACCATTTTAAGGAAGGACTGAAAAAACACCCCAGAATTCAAGAGATTGGGATCCTCAGAATTTGCTCCTTGAAAAACTGAGAATTTGTCAGTAAGAGTGTTCTTCATAATGACGCTAGATGGCACATCTTTTACTAGTGTGTGATAAACTGCGGTGCAAGACCAAACACTTAGCAAAACAGTTGGCAAGATTCTAAGAAAGTTTTGGCACAAATTTGGGGTGTTCCACAAAACTTTTGGTTTTTGTACTGAGTGGGCATTAGTGTAGACAAGTCCGTTTAAATTTTGAAAACATGTTGGTAAGTAAACTCAGGCTAGACCTAAAGTTAGTGCCATTTTCATCTAAAGATGTCACCGAAAGGCTAAATGTGAAGCTTCCGTGGATTCTTAACTTGTATTCCGTTGAAATCTGAAAATTCAGTGCATTAGTCAAAATCTGTCCAATGTTTTTGAAAAAGAGGAAAGTATAAACATGTTCTTATGGTAACAGAACTTGGTCCCTCATGACTTACTGAAACACAACTGTTTGCCTCCATTCTCAAGAATGCTACAATACACTCCAGCCATGCCAACGCGATTGACCTCAGGAGAGAAAAATCGCAGCAAATATTTGTGTCCAGTACCGAGGACAGCATCAATGAGTATAACAAAGATGCAGAGCAGACTTTTGTAGATCGGGGCTATGGAGAAGACAGCGAACACCAACGTCAAGGGGAGCATGTTGACGAGGTATCGCTGCCTGGGAATTTGGGACGAAGGCTTGGGTTTGATGACTGGTTTCCCACTCAAGTCCTTCAGCGGAATGGCGCCAATGGTTGGGTATGGCTTGGTCTTGGGGTTTGGGAGCTGTGGCACAACCACTCGGACGCAGTGGTCGAGTGCTCTCACTTTTAGCAGTCCATGTCGCGCACCCAGGTACTCGCTGGGGCTGCGCATGTCAAAAAAAGTGCGGATGCCGAGGTCGTCCAAGCGTTGGATGTCATCGGGCGAGGCGCGGTCCTGCCTGGCTGAGCGATAGAGCTTACCGCCGGTGTCTATTCGCCGGAGGTTCAGTACCGTGTCCAGTGGGATCATGTTTCTGGCTGGACTGTCAACAAAATCCCCATCCGAGGTTGTAGAGGTAGGCAAGGATTTGGAATCCATCTCAAAATTGTTATCAGCTGCCAGGAAGGTACAAAGGTGGACGATTTAGGCTGCAAAAGACAAATAATTATTCCCTTTATTGCATCCGAAAACCAGTTAAACATGGCCGACTGTTCCGACTATCTCTTCAGTACCTTAGGCTGAATCATGTCAACAAAAGCTGATTTTCAGTAACGTACATGTACAGGTCTCTTACCCCAATCTCCAGCTCAGTTTGACAATGAAATCGTTTTCTTGGCTGAGAAATTTGACAGACATGTTAGCAGTAATAGCAACACAGTGGCTCTGTATTTAGCAATCATGCTTCATACAGTACATCTTAATGGTGCTTGAAGTAACATAATATTGTTTACATTACAGGCAGCAATTGAATTTTTTGCCTGGTTAACTGGAGAGCATTGTTCAGTTTTTGGCTGTGATTTGTTCTCCCTGGTTTTTTCTTTGTCAAAATATCAACTTCCACTTTGAAACAGAATGTAAGTTCACTTATTTAGCTATGCGCACATAACTGATCATCTGTGAAAATGGCTTTGAAACTAAGAAAATAAACCTGAAAATTAATTCCCAATTACTGATAAATGCACATTAATTGTTACTTGTTTTGAAGCCTGGTGATGGTACTGAATACGGAACAGCTTCTGCCTAACTTTGTTCAATTTCAAAGACTTTAAACCATCTCCTCAAGGATTATGTGAAAGATTTTTTCAAGGGGCTTTCAAAACTAATTTGATAAAACAAATATCAACACAAAATACTTTTTATCAATTTATTTATTTTTTGTAATAATAGCTCTATTTATTTTTAATTTATTTTTAATATTTATATAGTTTTAATAAATTTAAGAAAGCCTGAAATTTTAAATTCATCGAATTTAACAAATTAACATCAACCCCTGCAACAGGTTATATGTCTCCCCTACGAAAGTCCCCTCCCCATAAAAAAAACTCCTCCCAAGTTCTTTTTGAGAACAAAGTAACACAAAATGAATGGTGACGGTCGAAAAATCCAAGCCCAGTGGCCCTGTATTCTACAGTTGTACCTCACTGACTGTCAGCTTGTCAATCCTCCTCAAAAAGTCTACAGAAAAAAACGGAATTTCTACACTACCAGAATGGAAAGAGTTCCATATGTAGACAACACCAATTTTTCCTGAATTAGGGCCTATAACAACTACGTTAGAACTTAATACTAGGTTAGATACTTAGAAAACACTTCAGGTTTTTTGAGACAAGTGATCATTATATTTATTTGTAATTAAGTCTCATTAGGACTGTGCACAGGGGCATCAGGTGCTGGAGTACATGTACATGCATATGGAACTCTTTCCTCAAAATGCCCACCCATGTTCGTTTACTTTAGCATAAACAATGGAGTTGATGAAGCCGGCAGTCGAACTTTCGTGAGTGGAAAATCGCAGCGTTTCGGTGCTCCAGATCTTATTCATATTCGATTGGTTCCGCACGTAATGCACGATCTTATCTGTTGGGCTACCAAAACCAGCCTTATTTTTCTAGCCCTCATCCAAGTTGTGTTTTAAAAATCGCATATAGCCCAAATATGCTTGCACTACCGCAGAGCTTTTCAACGCAATAGTCTGGTACCCAGTTAGCATCTTATGAAAGTGAAGGAGTTTGGACTTGGATTGCACACATTCGTAAACATACCGCGTTTTTGTGATTTTTTGTGTTGCTGAAGCCGCCGTAGAACCTGCAAAATTAGCCATTTTTTTCGTAGCAATGAACCTTGAAAAAGTCACCAATGTTTCTCCTGACTATTTTGAGGCATGTCGTACTAGTCTTGCTTCTGGTTGAGAATTCCAAAAGCCAAGGTAATGGTATTTTTGGTTTTGTGTGCATCGTGAAACTTGTCGAATAACGTTACACTTGGAAACTTATGTAATGATGTAGGCCCTACTGCAGTGTTTTCATATTAACCAGTATGGGTATTAATTTATATTAAGTTATTTATTAATTTAGACATCACCTTATTTTGTTTTCGCAGAAATCCAAGGAAGGGTCAATCTTGGATTGGATCCCAGCTCACCGGTCCCAGAATCCTTCCTTTTCAACCTGAATGTTGGCTCCGGGACGCTGCCCCTGTTTTTCGATCTCTACAATGTGACAAACGGCAGCTCAGTAGAGGGAGGACCATTCGACGAAGATGTAAACAAAAGTTGATTTCATTTGCCCTCAAATCCAATGGGTAACTGACGTAGTCAGGGATGAAATTTTGAGCGGGAACCCAGGATGCGCACTTCTTTAGTCTGACACTGAGACTACAGTGGCAGAACGGTTTTAAGAGTGGGTAGGGGGGAAGCCCCGGCCATTAGACTGAAGAGAATAATAATAATAACAAGCACTTGTAAAGCGCCCTCTATCTAGCAAACCATTCCGAGGCGCTGTATCATCATTATCCCTGTACATTGGGCTCACACATCATCTGAACATTCCTGGAACCGTCTCAGCTCCCTGGGGAGTATAGTAGCCCGGTGCTACTGTTTCGGCGTAAACGGCTAAACAACCGTGTCTGCCCTGACAGGTACCCATTTACTCCTGGGTGGAAAGAGGCACATAGGAGTAAAGTGACTGGCCCAGGATCACAACATGCTGCCACTAGCTGGATTCGAACCTCTGACCCTATGATCAGACGCCACAAACCCTAACGACTAGGCCACATGCCTCCACGAATACAATTATGAAGTTGCAATGTACCTCCGATGGTCAGTAGGCCTATAACGTGGGAGGGGGCAAATAACTACCTTTTCAAAGGTGGGGGAAAACAATCCCCCCCCCCTTGCACTGAGAGCAGCTTTAACTGTGCCTCGTCCATAGGTTGTGTACATTTCAAAAAATTCAAGGGGGGAGGGTGGCACACGGGGAGGGAGGACACAGACTTATGCTTGGGGAAGGTGTCTTCCCCCTGACCGCCCCCCATATGCTGCTGCTCAAATCAAAAAGTCTTTAATAGGACGTTATGAAAAGTGCAGGTGCCCTTTGTTAAATAGAATTTAAATTTAAAATGCATTTATTTAGTTGGTGCATTCAAGTTTTTAGGTTTCTTTGACTTTTTATTATTTGTGGACAAATCTTATACTTTTGTTCCATGTTTATAATTGGGTTAACTTGATAATATTCATGAATTAGGAATTCTTTTCAGAGTTCTTTTTCTATGAATTAAGAGGCAGCCTTGGAGAAACAAATCCCATCTGATTAATACGGATACCAAAAAAGAATTTGTTTTCACTTCTGATGTATTGAACGTTCCAATAACCACAAACTTCCCAGTCTTGATTAAATTTCCACCTGTTTCTTAAATCAGGTGACGGTAACGTGCAACACAATCACAGCCTTTACAGCAGGGGATTCAGTGATTCAGTTCACAAATACAGGCACCATACCGCTGAGAAATGGCGACACAACAGGCACCGTATCGTTTGAGTGAGTCCACGGGAATTTCTTCGTGTCCTATAAAACAGTGCTCGAATGTTCTTCATTCTGCGCAAACTACGGTATACAGTGCTTTTACAAGATGTAAAGTGCTTCTCTGATTCTGATTTTTGAGTAACTCCCAACAATAATACAGAATTGGCCCCTTTGCCAGAGGAACATTTTAATATCCTTACACCTTTTAACCCAAATCTTCCCCAACCACACAGAATTAAATGTAGTAAAGTGTTCAATTCTGTGGGGATAGGTCTGGTAGGCCCATTGCAGCTGGCTTTTGCATTGGCATTTGCAAAGTCCAACAGCCTCTGTGCACAAAGTCCCATAGGGGTGTTTAACTTTGTGTGAATGGGGAAGATTAGGGCCAGCAACCCTTGGGGGGTTAGGGTTAATGTTGACCAAGAGATAAAGAGTGATTGTGACCATTTCACAAGCATGTTGAAGAAAACTGTTATCTTAAAAATGATACCCATATGCCCTGAGCTGAAGTGCACCCTCACTGGCAAAAGAAAGACAGATGGTACTAGGTTTTTCAACCGGGTTCTTGCACGCATTCGGCGTGCACATGAAGACCATACATTCCAGACTAGATTCGTTGCGCATACTCAGCGTGCTCCGTGTCAAACGTACAAAAACTTGCACGCCTATGCGGTGAGTGTGTACCAAACACAGACATAAATGCATAGACCACCAGCCTTACGGGTATAACTGTGATTTTAAAAAGCCTGGGCAAGCAGTGGGCAAAACGATGGATGGTAGCGCGCGTTCAGTGCGAAATGCATGTGGCTCACTCACATTGCCTGTATTTGTTTACATGTGCTGTAAAAATATGTTCCCTTTTTTTACTCTTTGGTACTGCTATCTCTTCAAATGTTGCGACTGCATGTTTCGAATCTGCATTGGCCAGATTAAGTAAACACATGGCCAGGTTGAGCATGTG